CAAATACAACTGGAAGCCAGGGGCAATCGAATCTATGGAAGCACAGTGTGTGGGGGTCGGTTCTGGAGCACAGGGCACTGTGGGGAAGGTCACAGGTGGACCTGGAAGGTGGCCAGCAGACCTCTCGCTGAAGGATTTTGCTGATAAATTTTGTTTTGGTCAGGAGGAATTCCAGGCTCAGAAAGTTTTGGATTGAGGAGCACTTCAGAATTCAGGGCATTTTGGAGTCTGGATTTTTGGATTAGGGATGTTTGATTTGTTTTAACTTCAACCCTCATTGACACTCATTGCACCAAGTATTTCCCCTTACATTAAACTTTCATTTTCATATCAACCTCTTAAGACAAATACTATTATTCTCATTCTCATTTGAGAGGTGAGGAAATTGAGGCAGGTAAGGAATTTAAGGAGTAAAGGAAGAGATCTGAAAAGATACATCCAGCATCATTTTGTTGGAATAGGGCTCAGGAGAAAGTGGCAACGTTTTCCAACCACCATGCATATAGCATCTGCCTCATGGCCAACACCATCTCCCCTCTGTGCCTGGGGGAGTGTTAAAATCATTCCAATAGGGTGCTTGAGGAAGTTGGTTGATAGAGAGAGGTGCTCTTTGTCTTTCCAATTCTAGGAGTAGTAAAGGGGCTTGAAAGATCTAGAGGCACTGGGGAGGGAGCACCAAGTGACAAATTCATACCAGATTCTGGGTCACCAGCTGCGTGGAGCCAGTTCACAGACCACAGGGAGCAGTTTCTTCCTGCCCTACTAAACCTCCCTTCTCTCTGACTAATCACTTCCTCTCTTCCTTTCTTCCTTCCTCTCTCAATCACCAAGCATATTTCTCCCTTGTCAATTTGGTGTCCATTCAGGCCCCTCAATCATCTTCAATTCCAAACATTTATCCAGATAATTACGCAAATGAACTCCATTGCCTTCCTAAGAGACATGCTAGAACCAGCTGTTACTTTAATAAAGCTCTTTTCCTCATTTCATTGTGTGTGCTTCTCCCCATTCATTTAACAGATGAGGATGGAACAGGTAGAAATACCCTCAGGAACTGGCCTTGCCTTAGGGACCCAGAGAGTCTCCAATTTACACTTAAAACTCAGGCCTTTCAGGCCAGGCTTTGCAAAGGACATTCGCCCTGCTCAGACTTCCCAGAATGGGCCTCTGTTACCTTGTTAGCTGTGTGCTTTTCTGTGTACCCACATTAGCATAGCCAGTCCCCAGAATCATCCCCGTCCCTTGGTAAGGTGAGCACCAGTCTTCACTTCACTTTGGTGGCATGACTCCAGCACTTGCATCTGTCCTTGATTCTCCTCTATGTAAAACTCTTCACACACTAAGCTGGGAAGCCTGTGTAACCTTTGTAACTCAGGGTTACTCTTGTAGGAAAGGCAGAAAAGCTCCGTAAACTCAATAAGCCGAAACAACTCTTTACCTGTCTAAGATTTTATTAGCAGGTGAGGTAGAAAAAGGCCTATGCCCAGGAGAAGACAGATTAGAACATATAAAGCTGAAAACCAAGGGCTTATTTCTTTGGAGTGATGGGGTAGATGGCCCTTTGGTGGAGTTATCATTCCGTGTCTTCATCTTTCAGCACTCGGTGAAGGTTTCTTGGGATGACTGGATGTGCCTGTCGTCTGGCTCATTGGCAAGTAGCTGGTAATCCCTGAAGAGGAGCTGATTGAAAGTTTGGTTAGAGATTTTGTTAATTTGTCCTTGAAGGAATTTTAAAATGCAAGGAAGGAAGGCACAGAATAAAAAGACCCAACTAGAGGTACCAGTATTGGGAGAATCCAGCAGCTAACGGGGTTTGTGAAGAGGTCCCAGTAGGATTGCTGTGCCAATTGCTGCTTTCTTTTTTCT